GAGAGAAGAGATCAGTTTGGAAAACAAATCCATGCACATATTAAAGTTTTATCAAATATCAAAAGGTGTATTTTTTTTAAATGAAGTAACATTGGTTTACATCCATGTTAGTGTTTTGGAAGTATCGGATTGCCCCCCTCAGTTGTAGTCACCGTACTGCACCCACCACTGAAGCATCCATAGTCCTGCACCATAAGCCACTGTGCTTGCTCCCCATCCTTTTCTCCCTCCCACTCCTCTCCCCTTCTGGATGCTTCAGTTCTATGGTCAGTTTTCAATCTTTGGTTTCAAAGTTTGCCTTTGTCTGACCCTTTGTTTGGTTTCTCTATATTCCACATATAAGTTATACCATCCAGTATTTATCTTCCTCCTTCTGGCTTATTTCACTTAGCATAATCCCTTCCAGCTCCATCCATTTTCACACAGTGGCATGAGTTTATCTTTCTTGATTGCTGAGTAGTATTCCATTGTGTATATATACCACAACTTATTGATCTTCTCATCCTTTTTTTTTTTTTTGACACTTAGATTGTTTCCATCTCTTGGCATTGTAAATAGTGCTGAAATAAACCTGGGAGTGCAAGTTTCCTTTCAAATTAGTACCTAGAAGTGGAATTGCTGGGTCATATAACAGATTCACTTTTAATTTTTTTAGAAAAAATTTCCATAGAGGCTGGACCAGGCTACATTCCCACCAACAATTTAAAAGTTTCATTTTTCTCACCCTTGAAAGAACTTGTTGTTTTTGGTCTTTTTGATATGGGCCATTCTCACTGGTGTGAAGTTTTATCTCTGTGGTTTTTATTTGCATTTCCCTGAATATAAGTGATGATGAACATTTTTCATGTGCCTATTGGTCATTTGTATGTCTTCTTTGAAGAAATGTCTATTTAGCACATCTGCCCATCTTTTGATTGGGTTATTTTTTGTGTTGTTGTCATTGTTGTTGAGCTGTATGAACTCTTGGTAGACCTTTGATATTAGTCCCTTGTCAGATTTGTTTGTTCAAGTTTTCTGTTTTTCTTGGATGGTCGTATGATTCAATCTGGGATGATTCAATCTTGGATGATTGTGTGATTCTAAGGATTTTTCCATACCATCAAGGTCATTGAACTTGTTAACATGTAAATATTCATATTATTCTCTCACTATCCTCTGAATATCTGCAGTGTCTGTTATAATTTTTCTTCTTTCATTTTTGACCTATTTATTTGAGTTTTCTCCCCTTTTTTTGGGGTGAACCTAGTTACAGGTTTGTCTGTTAATTTTTCAAAGAACCAATTTTTAGTTTCACTGATCTTTTCGACTGACTTTTTTATTTCTATTTTATTTCTGCTCTAATTCTTATTATTTCCTTTCTCCTATTGGTTTTTTATTTTGTTTATTCTTCTTGTCTTAATTCCTGAAGATGATAGGCAAGGTTCTTTATTTGGGCTTTTTCTTATTTCTCGATGTGGGCCTCTATTGCTATATATTTTCCTCTTTGTATTGTTTTTGCCGTGTCCCAAACATTCTAGAAGGTTGTGTTCTCATTGTCATTTGCTTCAAGGTTTTTTTATTTATTCTTTTATTTCCTCCTAAATATAGTGGTCTTTCAGTAGTGTGTTGTTCAGTCTTGATGTGTTAGAAGAACTTCCCTGCTTTCTTTTTGTGGTTGATTTTTAGTTTGATACCTTTATGATCAGAGAAGTTACTTGGAATGATTTCAATATTCATGGATTTGTTGGTATTTGTCTCATGGCCCAATATTTGGTCAGCTCTGGAGAGTAGCCCATGTGCACTTGAGAAAAGTGTGTATTCTGATTTTTTGGCATAGAGGGTCCTATAGACATCTATTAGGTCCATGTGGTCTAATTCCTTATTTAAAGCAATATGTCTCTATTCAATTTTTGTCTTATTGTTCTGTCCATTGGTGAAGGTGGGGTGTTGAAGGCTCCTACCACAAATGTGTTTTTTTTCCAATATTTGTTTTCTGTGTTAATAGTAGTTGCCTAATATATTTTGGTGCTCCTTTGTTTGATTTTTAACTGCCCTCAAATCAAGTCTAAGAAAAGCACTCCACTGTAATGGTGCTAAATCTCCACAGCAAGGATAAAAAAAAAAGTGAAGTGACTATCTGGATCAAAAAATTGTTGCAGTTAGCTCTGCTTCAGGTAATTCAGATGACAGTTGGGAAGTCCACCCCGACTCCCATCCTGAAATTACCTAGTCTCAAACTTTCAGTGTCTTAAAAATTCAGTTATAGAATTGAAATATCTAGTGTAATGCAATGGAATAAAGAAAGGTTGTTCAATAAGGGCTGCTACATGCAAAAGAATGAAGCTGGGCTACAACCTCACACCATGCACAAAAACCAACGCGAAATTGATTGAACAGCTAGACATAAGACCTGAAATCATGAAATATATAGATGAAAATATAGGCGAAACACTGCATGACATATACCTCAGTAACATCTTTAAAGACATGTCACCCAAAGCAAAGACAGTGAAGGCAAAGATAAACAGCTGGGACTACATCAAATTAAAGAGCTTCTGTACATGAAAAAAGACATTAACCAAAACAAAGAGACACCCCACTGATTGGGAGAAAATTTTTGCACTCAATACTAATGATAAGGGACTGATCACAAAGATCTACAAAGAGCTGAGGAGACTCAACAAAAACAAAGTAAATATCCCAGTCAAAAAATGGGCAGAAGAGATAAAAAGACACTTCTCCAAAGAGGAAATGCAAATGGCAAACAGGCATATGAAAAAATGTTCAGCATCACTTGTAATCAGGGAAATGCAAATCAAAACCACAATGAGATACCATCTTACACCAGTGAGAATGGCACATATTAAAAAAAACTAGCAACAACAAATGTTGGTGAGGATGTAGAGAAAAGGAACTCTCCTGCACTGCTAGTGGGAATGCAGACTGGTCCAACCACTATTGAAAGCTGTCTGGAGGTTCCTCAATATGCTAAAGATGGAGCTTCCATATGATCCAGCAATTCCACTCCTAGGTATCTACACAAAGGACACAACAACATTAATTCAAAAGAACACCTGCACCCCTATGTATATTGCAGCACTATTTACACTAGTTAAGCTATGGGAACAACTCAAATGTCCCAAAATAGATGACTGGATCAAGATGATGTGGTATATTTACACAATGGAATATTACTCAGCAATCTAAAAAGATAAACCCATGCCATTTGCAGCAACATGGATGGAGCTAGAAAGGATCATGCTCAGTGAAATAAGCCAGAGAGAAAAAGAAAAATATCAGATGGTTTCACTTATAGGAGGAATGTAGAGGATCCAAATAAGAGATCAGGAAAAAAAAAACCTAATTATAATAAAGTAAAAAATCAAAATTAAAAAAAAAGAAAGAAAATATCTATTGTATATCCTCCACTTCCCGGAGGGACCACTGTCAAACTATTTCCAAAAATTGAGAATCTACAGACACACCTCAGAGATATTGCAGGTTTGTTTCCATACAAAAAAGTGAGTATCACAATAAAGTGAATCAAAGACATTTTTTGGTTTCTCAGTGCATGAAATGATGCTTGCACTATACTGCCTAGTCTATATGTACAATATTATTATGTTTAAAATTAATGCAGATGCCTTAATTAAAAATATTGCTAAAAATTGATAACCATCCTGTGAGCCTTTACCAAGTTATCTTTTTGCTGGTGGAAAATGCTGGTGTAAAAAATGCTGTATCTGTGAAATGCAACAATGTGAAGCCCAATAAAACAAGGCATGCCTGTACTATGTCTTCAGACATCAAGAGATTTCCTGTGGGGCTTTGAATCAAGGAGACAAACAGCAAGATAGATAGTTTTTTGCTTTTAAAATATCAGGTTTGGATGAGCAAATCCTTCGTAAGAGACTTATAAATTTATGCTTTTCTATAGCCTAAAAGCTGCATCATTACAGTCCAATCAAAAGGATTACTGGTGCTTTATTTGAAGTATTGTCTGATAATTTGTTAAATGATTATCATCAGAGATGGAAACCTTGTACATGGGCAAAAACACCTGAGCTTCTCCCCTTGTGATTTTTTTTAAAGATTTATTTATTTTATACAAGAACTGGGGTATAGGCCAGAGTCACGGGACGGTGAGAGGATTCACCAGAGATAGAGCGGGGAGCAAAACAGGCAGACAGACCGAAAACACTGCTGAGGGGAGCAGCGGGCGAGACAGGAGAGGTCTGCCATGCCATGTGGGTATCTCCCTGGCCGACTGGGAATCGAACCTGCACTGCAGAGGCTGTGGCCAGACTCCCAGTGCTGTGCTCAAACACTGTGCCACTGGGGAGGCCCTCCTCTTGTGATTTCAACTGTCCAATAGGCAAAAAAGAAGGGAGGAAGAAGAGAGAGAAATCTGTGACAGATGGAATCAATGTGATGAAATTATATGTTGTGGACAGACTTGTGTCTGAAATATAAGTCATCATTATGTACATTTAAGGCATTTGTTGCTAATGCAACTATGTTTCAAGTCCAATATGTGAAAAGCAAGAGAACAGAATATTTATCAAATCTAGCCTTTGTTTTGCCTATATTTTCATGGTTTCCTGGAGAGTATACCAGTCGAGGAAGTAAAGGTAATGTGTATATCCTGTTTATATTTTGTAATGACTTAATCTTTGTATTATATTATAATGAAGAAATAAAGAGTTAAGACCCAATTTCCAGCTACAATATTCTGCATGCCTTACAAAGTTGCATAAAATAAAAGGAACCTTCCGACTTCTGTCTTGAGTTTGTTTCCCTATTAGTAGAACAGAATCTGTCTGAGCCCTTGGTAGTGGCTGCTTGAAGTACCATGTGAAAAACAAAACCACAAAAAAACGATCCGAAGGTCACATGCAGCGCAGCTTGCAAGAGTGACTTGATTGATAACTACTGTCTGTCACACCCACAGGTTGCTCCAGAAGATAAAGGGAGAAAAGAAGCACAAATATAGTATACTGGTTATTCCAAATGCACTTTTATTCACTTTAACGCAGATGATTTTTATGGTTCAAACAAAATATCTGATACACAATTTTGAGTTTTTAGCAGCACCTGCAACAAGAGGATTGTGGAATACCTCAGGGTAAAGTAGAGATGGCTGAGACAGGCACAAATGAACCTGAAATTCATCAATCCACTGAAAACATGGAATCTGAGGCCCCCTGAAAATTAGCCTACTACATGAAAATAAATTAAATAAATATTCTGTGTGATCATCAGAAAACAGTATAGTAACAATGGGAAATAGCTTCTTCAAAATATCACGTGTTCATAAAAAAACACCTACTGAAAATATTGCACTGCACATTTTGGGGTACACAGTCAATTTCTAAGCCTATATGCACTGTTCCTGGTACTCACAGATTTCAGCCTTTGGTGTTTTTAATCTTACCCAAACCATATGTCAGCACCACACTGAGTGTTACTCACCAAAAATCGCTGTTTTTGTCACTTAATGTTAAGTGCTTCCATTAGGATATTGTGTTGTGATTTGGCAGAATAAAATGTCGAATGGCCAAGAGAAAAGGGGCTTCAGTTGACCTGCTAATAAAATTAACACTTGTCTTGGATGGACAGGAGGCCTATGCATGAGATACCCACAGAATTTTTTTTAGTTAAATGACCACATGCCATTCTAATAGAGACAAGTGAGTGGATGGAGGTCTTTATGAAGGCCTGAGATCTATAGAGAGAAACTATTATAAGCAGAGTGCAAATAGAAAGAGAAGGCCCCAGGTCTCATGCACTTAAAAACAATTAGCATTTAACAGTTCTGACATACATAGTTTCACCTTAACATAATTGTAGCAAAATTATCATAGAACTTGGAAACCAGTGTGGCTAGCTATAGGCATCGGCAGGATAGGGACCAATACTTAAGAGCTGTGGGGTCCCAGTTCTGGCTTTGACTTCAGGCATCAAAGTTAATTGGACTGTGGAGTCAGGACTATATTTAAATAGGAAATATTCAGCATGACTGGGTTGAAATACCATCCTCTACTCGTCTATGTGGCCAAAAAGTCCCAGAGCTCTTAAAGCACATAAGGTCCCATGTGTAAGGCTGATTCCATATGTGGCTACAATGGAGAGTTCTAGGCTGTATTCCTGTGAAAGCTCCCATCCCTCCCCTCCCTAGGGTCTCTTTTTGGGGTCATTTCTAACTGTTCCTCACTACCTCGGGTCGCTATTTTTATCATAGCTCTTTTAAAATTACAGATTAAAAGCTATGCAAGACAAACAGATCAACCAACAATAACTAGACTGCATACGCATAATATAGTAGATAGCCGGCAGTCATGGCAATAAAAATTTGACAAACCATGTTCATATTTTAATACAGTATCTTTAGGATCTTCATATCAGGGCACATGATTATTCAGAGCTCAAAACTTTTCCTTGACTTAGTACAAAAGAAAAGGAAGAGCTCCTATAGTTGCTTTTAAATGCTGATTCCAGAATAGTTTGAGGATTTTTAAAGTTCCTCCTCTCCATATTCATGGTTGTTGTCTTAAGATACATACATCTAATTGCAACATGGCACTGAAACCTAGTTTGTAGTTTATAGATTTGTAGAATGTTGAGCCGGAAGAGACCTTAAACTGAACATCTACCTAGTACAGAAATTCTCTTTATGGTATTTTAACAGGTGTTCATCCAACATCTATTTGAGTATTTTCATGGGAAGGGAGTTCATTATTAAGGCAGTCCGTTCTACTGCTGGACAACTATAATTATGAGAAATTGATTCTAACACTGGGTTAAATTCCGCTCTCTTGCCACTTTTCATGTTGTAGTTTGGCCAGCTGAACATACAGTGCAACATACAAGGAATCGGTTCCTTTTTCACAATAAATATTTGAGTTAAGGAACACCTCGTGAGAAAAGCCCATTATCCCCCAATCTTTTCTGAAGGCTTCTCTGGACACAAAGCATGGTGGACCAAAGGACCATCAAAATTATGAGCAGAGAGCACTACATCCAAAGCCATATACTATAGCAGCATTGATAAATTGATAAGAGGTTGTCAGTGAAGCAACACCTTTTGCAGCAAAAGTAAACTTACGAAGTAAAAGTGGACCAACCATTCATTTGCAAGGGTGGTTGGCATATTTAAGCATAATCCATTTATTAGTGCCTTGTTTCTTCAAACGCATGGAGTAAAATGAAGTCCCAATGCCATCAGTTTATCTCATATTGAGATGGTATTTTTTGAAAAGCTCAGATGGGAACAAACCATACATAGGGATTTAAACAAGGCAGTGTACATCATTATACTTTTGCATTCATAATCATTGCAACCTCTTTCTAATTCAAGCTTAGGACATCCTTGTTGCATTATTATTATTTACTGTAATACAGCTCAGAGTCTTCGTTTTTTTTTTTCCCCCTTTGGCAGAAATGTCAGAAACTGCTAGGCAAGAGTCAATGATGTCATTTGTTAGTTGATTAATGAAACGCTTTGAGGGATAGCTGTAGCTCTTTAACTCCTTCATGCGACTGGGTGCTAAGTTTAAACTGTGATTTGAAAAAATATTGAAGTCCCTCAGGACTAAAGCTTTCTAAACATCCTGATACACACAAGGAGGAAATAGTAGATATCACGCAAAATACACTTGATAAAGCTTTTTTTAAATCGCTCTACAACTTCAGTCTGAAAGGCTTTGCTTCACAATCACAACTTAGTCTCATACCCCTTTGTGTGTGTGTGTGTGTGTGTATGTGTATGTGTGTGTGTGCACACTCTTAGATGGGCACAATTATTCTTACACTACTGACTGATCAATTTGGGGCACATTTTTTAAAGGCTTTCTACTTTTAACAGCATGAAGATCCTGCTTTGGAGCCACTGTTCAAGTCAATAGTGTGACCTAACATGCAGTGCTCCAGCTGTTCCTCCACAGCCAACACCTGCCTGACAGCTTCTTCAAAGGCCACTGTCACATTAGTATCATCTTTGGCACTTGTTTCTAAATAAGGGTAATCCCCATTCTCCATGCACCAGGCTTGTGCCTCCTCTGTAGTCACCTGCCTATCCTCTTTGTCTACCTTGTTACCCAGAACTACAAAAGGGAAGTGCTCAGGGTCTTTCACATCTGCATAGTAGATGAATTCTTTCTGCCAGTTACCAAGGTTCTCAAAGCTCTGCCGGTCATCCACACTGAAGGTCAAGAGGCAGCAGTCTGCTCCTCTGTAGAAGGGTGTCCTGAGGCTCTTGAAACGTTCTTGTCCTGCAGTGTCCCAAATCTGGAGTGTTACAAAGCGTCCATCTACCTCCAAATCTCGATTTAAGAACTCTACCCCTATGGTGTGAAAAGCCTGGGAGTCAAATTTATTGGTTACATAACGGTTCATAAGGGAGCTCTTTCCAACTCCACCATCACCTAAGAGAATGACCTTTAAGAGCAGAGATTTCCCACTCATTGTTGCAGCACCAGATGGGGAGGACCTTATAAAAGAGAACCTGAAAGAAAGAAAGAAAGAAAGAAAGAAAGAAAGAAAGAAAGAAAGAAAGAAAGAAAGAAAGAAAGAAAGAGAGAGAGAGAGAGATGGAGGGAAAACAGTTAAACCTGACAGTGAAATCAACCATGTAGTAAATATCAATGAATTATGAGGACTTCTAATTTGACTTCTCTTGATTCATGCTCATTGATATAGTACAGCAGAAGGAATAAAACTCTTTTGGCATAAGGGGGAAAATAGGTCTTGTTTTGCTGAGGTCTCTTGTCTGTGCCAAGAAAATGGCTGAATGCCATGGGTAAAAGGACTAGCAGATGGCATTGTAATTTGGTTCAGTTCTGACCCTATTCTAGGGAAGAGAGCCTAGAACAGAAATGCCACTCAAATGTATAATCATATTCGTTTCTGACTTGGACACCTCAAACAGGAGGCAAATCCAGGGTTTGAAATTTGTTCCCAATGGTCTTAAGAATTATTCAGAGGAAGCTGTGTAAGCTTGATTCTGTTAGTACAAGTTTGGGCTAGAAGTTTGGGCTGGACCCCTGAACTTAAAAGAGAGAAAAGGTCAGCTTGCCCCATTATACTTGCATTGATATGTATACCCTGACAAGTAAAAAATCATCCTAATCATTTTTACACTGAACACTGGCACTTAAGTTGCTGCTACACCATTATAATAGCTGTCTTTCCAGAAGGAAATCTTGAATAGCTTATTAATTTTTGGAATTAGGTACCTATTCCATAGCAGCACCAATGAAAACACACTATGAACTCAAAAATACTAATAACTACACAGTCCCCTTCTTGTTGCCTCCATACTGTATCATGTATCATAAACATGGACTATCTGGACTGCATCTTAAAATAAAAGGATCAAAGTTTACTGAACAACTACTTGGTATTAGATTCTCAAAAGTGATGTTAATTGGATGTTATTTATGCAAGAGACTCAAAGAGATGAAAACTAAACACTAATTAAAATAGTGCACGCAGAAAAATTTTGGAAGCACACAGATTTGAAATGCAATTTGAAAAACCCTTCAGTAGTCATTAAAATTATGTTGGTGTGCATGTGTACTTACTAATTATATATTTTTCTAAACATTCATTTTAAGAGGTCAAATTAAAAAAATAGTAAAATACATACGTACCCAGTTGAGTATAAAATATAAACCTAACCAGTCGGGTCTTTGTCACAATTTAGTCTTTTTCTTTTTCTTGTTGTTGTTTTATTCTTATGTTTTAGGGTTCTAAAAAAGAGCAGGAAAGATGATTTTTAAAACTATAATAAAATAAAGCTAAGGTTTTATATATATGTATACATATATACATATACACACATATGTATGTATATATAAATAAATACACTCAAGCCATGAAAAAACCCACAGACCAACCACAAGTTACCTATCGAGGATGCTTTTCACAAATATACTTAAGAGTTCAAAATGCTGTAATGCTGAACATGGATACGATGATTTTACTGTATGTATTTTAACTTGTCCTAATTTGACGGTATTTCAAATGATTTTTAAAGTTTTATATTTTCTCTCCATTTAACACTTCATTCAATTTAAAAGTAAATCAAAGAGGGCCTTCCCAGTGGCTCACCGGTTGAGCGCTGGGTTGCGAAGCTGCCGGCAGCCTCTGCAGCGCTGGTTCAATCCCCAGGCACCGGGGAGGGTCCCACATGGCGCTCAGACCTCTCCTGCCGCCCGCTGCTCCCATCAGCAGTGTGTTTCATCAGTCTGCCTGTTCTGCTCTCCACTCTGTCTCTGGTGAATTCTCTCACCCTCCTGCGCTTCTGACTGTACACAGTGCTTGTATAAATAAATGAATAAATCTTTAAAAAAAAAACTACTTTAAAAAAAATAAAAGTAAATCAAAGAAAGTTGAAACTATTCGCAATAGATGATGTTCAGGAAAGGGAAAGCACAAAGGTGTCTAAGATATGTTGAAATTCTAAGTCAGAGCTGAAACTCCTTCTCTGTATACCTTGCAATATTCTCAGCTCCACAAAGGTATTTAATGCGCTCACCAATGTGCCTTGAGATTGTCTCTGCAATTGATCACACAGGATCAGAGAAGAAAAAAAGGTTTTCAGATTCCCTGTTTATAATATTCTCCTGGCCATTTTACTCGCTAACTGGGTTGTCTGTCTTCAACACAGGTTTCAGCATTTAGCTGAATTTATTAAATTCAAGCACAACTCCATTTAATATTGCAGTTAATTATGGCAAGAGTCTTATCTCAGCAGCATCAACAGTACTGGGCTAAAAAGAAAAATCAGTAACTAGATTTGTTGAGTATTTTAAAAAATGATTTATTTATGCATACAAGAACTGGGGTACAGGGGGTGAGAGGATTCACCAGAGACAGAGTGGGGAGCAGAACAGGCAGATCTCCTAAAATACACTGCTGAGGGAAGCAGTGGGGCGAGATAGGTCTGCTTCACTATGTGGGTAGCTCCCTGGAGGGGGGTTGAACTCATGCTGCAGTAGCTGACGATAGCTCCATAGCATTGAGACTTTGACCCCTGCGCCACTTGGGAGGCCCTTGTTGAGTATTCTTACTGGGAGAAACTTTTAAGAAATCTGCTACTAAATAATCTCATGTTTTTTTTTTCCCAAAATATAAATAAACCCTACAATAAGGAAGTCATAATCTAAATCAATAATGATGAATTCAAATAGTGTCTTCTAAATTGATAGGCTTTATCCTCCTTTCTTGATCTATATGCTAAAAAATTCTCAAGTTTCCTAAAACACTTGACTTTTGTCCTCTTTTTCTTTGCTGCTTTTAAATTGCTGCCTTTGGAACTAACTCAAGTAACAAACATTTCTTTCAATGGAGATGAAACAAGAGTTAGCACACTACTCTATTTTTTGTACCGGTCTGTAGGATAACTTTACAAAGCCTAACTTTTGAACTCTCACTAAAAAAGTAACAGCAGGAAGTACAAACTGGGGCACAATCCTGATAGTATTAAAGGCCAAGCCAAAGGAGCTTTCTTAAGTTCCTAGCAAACAGGTGTTCACATTAAACCACTCACTAACTCTATTTTCCCCACAGTGGATCAACTCAAATGACGGGCCAAGGACTGAGTGAATATGGAAACCAAATACTCAGCTCCAGGAATAATGATAGAGTATTAATAACTACCTGAGATAATGCTGCAGTTGCCCATGCTCTCCCTATTTGGTCTTGTGCACACAGAACTTCTGGGTACATAGGCTCCATACAGGGAAAAGAGGGAAAGCAACGCGGTTCACTGCCAAGTGCACTGGGCTGGCAGCAATCAAGAGACAAGAGTCTTCATCGCTGCTATGCCATTCATAGAATTTTATGAAATTGGGCAGGTCATTTAATTTTGCTGTGTTTCATTATCTTCCTATAGAAAAATAGAGTGGAGGGCCTCCCCGGTGGCGCAGCGATTGAGCGCTGAGTTGCGAAGCTGCCCGCAGCCTCTGAAGCGCTGGTTTGATCCCGGGCTGCTCCGGGGCCACCGGAAGAGGGTCCCACATGGCGCGCAGACCTTTCCTGCCGCCCGCTGCTCCCCTCAGCAGTGTGTCAGTCTGCCTGCTCTGCTTTCCCCTCTGGCTCTGGTGAATTCTCTCTCCCTCCCACGCTTCTGACTGTACCCAGTGCTTGTATAAATCAATAAATAAATCTTTTTAAAAAAATAGAGTGGATAATACCTGCCCTACTTAATTATGGTATTTGCGGGGGACAGGGGGTGGTGGTGAGTAACTTACGAAGTTTGCAAAGATTTGTAAGCATTTATTGAAAAAGTTGGTTTAAGATTTCTGCTCCTCTTGCTCCTTCACCAACCTTTCAGCCACTCGTAGGGCCTTGTGACTCAGTATTAACCCTTCTCAGAAAGGGCCTGCCAGTGAGGGCATAACAATTCCTCCTTCTTTCTTTCTTCCATATCTGACTCTGCCTTGCTCCCCAACAGTTTTGGGTATCTGTGCCCTGCTATTGATACTTGGGGAAACACCTGGGGGCCTATTGTGTGCTGTGTCCTTACCAAAGTGACCTTTCGTTCTCCTTTGCTGCCTCCACTTCCATTTGTTTGTCAGAGTTAGAAATGACCACAGTTTAGCCTTATCTTCTTGCCGTCACTCACGAAATCCTACAGATTTTTTCCCCGGGATGTCCTTTTGGAGTCCTCTGCTATCATCTTCATTTTGGTCCAAATCACCTTGCATCTAATCTATTACAAAAGCTTCCCTGCTCTTTCTCTACCTGCCCCACTGCAGAACTTCTTCACTTCAGCACTGTCTGGGTGTATACTCTGTTGGAGAGGCATACATGTTTAAGGCAAAGTCTTGCCCTCAAGGAGTTCATACGTTTGACATATAAGCTTGAGAACTCATGGCTTACAGTTAAAATTAATCATTATACTGCCGTATCTTGTTAACAGAACTTTTTTCCAAGTATATGTTTCCCATATCACTAAACTTTATTTTTGAAAAAAAAATTAGTTTTTTTAATGATATACCATTGTTTTACATCTTTTTAAATTTTTTGACAGTATAGGATTCTCCCTTGAGGTGTGGGCACTGTAGTTCTCCCTCAACCAACACCCATAGTCCTCCACCATAGCACATTGTGCATTCTGTCCCCCCACGCTTTTATCTGTCTCATCTCTCTCACTTTTCTTCTCCTCTCCTGGATGCCTCAGATCTAGGGTTAGCTTTCAAGAGTTGGTTTTAAAGTTTGTCTTTGTCTGACCGTTTGCTTGATTTCTCTATATTTCAGTTTTAATAAAACCATTCAGTATCTTTCTCCTTCTGGCTTATTTCCACTTCAGTATAATCCCTTCCAGCTCTGTCGATGTTGCCACAAATGGTATGAATTTATCTTTTTTGATTGCTGAGTAGTATTCCATTGTGTTTATATATATACCACATGTTCTTGATCACCCATCTGTTAGGGGGCATTTAAGTTGTTTCCGTACCTTAGCTATTGTAAATAATGCTGTAATAAACATAGGAGCGCAGGTTTCCTTTCAAATTAGACACCACTAAATTTTAAATTCCTGACAAAAAAGGCCCTTATTTATGTAGGTTTTTGAAGCCCCTCCAACATGTAGCATCAGAGTCCTTCATATGGACCGAAAAAATAAGCATTTATTAATGAACTGATTAGGTAGGTGCCCAGGATTAATGCCTCTGCACTGATGCCAAGGTTCAACAGATCCACAGTACTGTAAGATCCACAAGTACTATTACTTGTGAGGTGACTAAGGAGCAGAAGTTATTAACTTCCCTGGATCACTTTCTAGATTCTACCTGTTGAAAGTCAATGGAAATGCTGCAGTTTCACTCTCTCTACCATGACATTTTTAATACATTTTCCCACTTTCACCAAAAATAAGAGCAGAATAATTATCTGTACTTTATATTTTGAGTGGTTGCCACCACCACCATCACCACCACCACCACCATCATCATTGGTGTCATCATTTGAAAACGAATTTGATATCATTCAATACATAAATTAAAAACTAGTACAACATAAAAACCAATAAAATGTTTTTTTTTCTACCATAATATTCCAAATTAAGCCAAACTTTAAGAGAAGTTAGCATTAAGGAGGCAAATGAATTCTTGATAACCCAGAATACATTAAGTAGGAAACTCAAATTCCTGATGCATCCCTTATGGGTCCACTCCTATCGGTGGGATTTGGACTAAAATATTTATTCTGATTTTGGTCCTATTCAGGGAAAGATCTGGCTTTAATTGACTCATTTATCCCAGAGATGCAATCCCCTTTTCCTACCTCAACCCCTAAAATAGAGGAACAATCATTCTCTAAGGATCGTTTATACATTCCCTTCACCCCAGTTAGGATCTAAGCCTTGGACAGTGAGGTGAATTACCAATGCACATACCCAATGTTCCCGATCTTTTTTGTTCTTCAACATACTTGAAACCTTTTGAATCTGTTGTGCCCAGACCCACACAGGCTTATGAAAATGGCTGTATTTAGTTGAAGATGATTAAGGTGGGGGTGGAGGTAAGGGAGGAGGCCACACAATGAAGAGAAAGAGGTCGAACTGTTGAAAATAGTGCATTTTAGAGTGATGAGAGAGAAGCGAATTGGCAACGTCTGTTCCGTTGCCATGGGAGGAATGATGCTCAAATCTATAGTGCAGATTGTTTGGGAGCAAGTCTTGAGAGGGATGTGTACTGCAAGACTGGGGGAGGAGCAGCAGGGGAGGGCTAGGCTGACATAAGAGTGGCCCTGGTGGCAGTATGCACAGAGGAGGAGCCTTGGTTGAGCTGTGGGGAAAGTCCATCTTGCGGTGACACGGTGATGAGGGCTATTCAACTCACCATGAGTCTTGGCACAGTATTTGAAAACACTGCACTGGAGACCTGGGCGAGGTTTTCTCTAAATTATGTAAAAATCACTATAAATAATAAACGATTGGATCTTTGTGACCCTCTAACTTTAATAGTGTAGCTTGTTTGCCCTATAACCTGATGCTGGGTCTTGGAGTTTCCGTAGTGGGGGGAAGCCCTGGGACGCCCTGAATTTATTTTGTAGAGCTAACAAGTTATGAGCTACACCCGTGCTCAGAGTCCAAGAGGCACAGCTGTCAAGCCGCCGAGACGCTACTCCCTCATTCATGCTCATATTTAAACCCTAGCTGCTCTCAAGGGGTTCTAGGTGGCATTTCACCTCTCCTCTTTCCCTCCCAAGGAGTGGTCCCGGGCCAGGAGCCGGAAGACACACTAGACGGCAGTTGGCCATTTCTTCCCAAGTAGAGCGCAGGCAGGTAAGCTTTGGGTGCCATCAAGCCGACAGGGTACCGGGGAAAGAAGCTTCCTTAGGAGACCAGGATTGCTGGCGTCTCTGAGACAGGGACGCTGTTAGCTTTGGGGCCCAGGAAAGTGAGATGTCACCCCTGGTTCCAACTACCGCGGACCCGGGCGCTCTCCCCTACGCCCCGGCCCTCCGGCACCCGGCGGCTGGGGCGCATGCGCACTGAGCCACACCCGCTCCCCATCGAGCCCTGCACCTCCCAGCCCGGTTGGGGCAGCCGCTCCGGATTATTCAGCAACGCCCCCTCTACCGAAGCCTCCCCACCGACCCTGGAAGCGACGAGGCCCCATTCCCGAGGCACGGCCCCCGGGCGATCACCCGCACCTCCCTTTCTCCCTCTTCTCCCAGACCCCACCTCCGGCCTCCCGGATCCGCCGGCCAGGCAGCCCCTCGCCCGGCCCACGCTCGGGAGCTTACCCGATACAATGGGGGACAGCGCAGAGGGCCCCGGGCCAGGCCGGTCAGCTCTGCGGCTCGGCAGTCTGGTCACTCGGCGCCACCGCCACCTTCCCTGCTGCCTCCTCGTCCTCAATGGGGCAGCAAGTGCAGCTTGGACCTGGGTGGCCTGACAGCAGCCGCTCGCTCCCGCCGCTGCCGCCGCGCCGCGTCTCGCGCCCGCGCCCGCCAGCAGAGGGGGCGGGGCCCGCGCCGCCAGCCCGAGCCCCTTTCCCGGCGCGGGGAACCTGGTGTCACCGCCTCCCGCCCTCGGGTGGGGAGAGCGCTCGTCAGCTCGCTCTTGTCTCCCGCTCAGTGTCCAGCCCTGCTTGGCCTCGTCCTCCTCCTTTTCCCTCTCGGATTAGTATGCGCGGCGACAATGGACCAGCCTAGGGCCACACCCCTGTTTCCAGCAATTACCCTTTGACCTCGCTCCTGTACCCCACCTCAAAACCTTCTACCCTTCCTTAAGGATTGCACCTGCTTCAAATAGTTCCGGGGAAATGCATGATCACAACCGGTTCCTAGGCCCTTGACTTAACTGCTGTTTATGAAAGTCTGATGCCCATCCAAATGGAAAGGCTCCCTCCCATCTGTAGCTCAGGCATAGGAGACTCACCACCCTTTACCCTGGCTGGGGTAGTTGCTGGGGTAGAATGCAATGTTCCAGTTGTGCCTACCCACCCTGCCAGCCCCCTCTTGCTGTCTCCTGTGCCCCTCTGATACTGCCAACTGCTTTCTGATTTTTTTTCCCTGGAATCCAAGGAAGATGAGCTCCTGGGGTCATTTAACCTGCACTTCATCTCCCCATCAGGAAATGGAGTCTCTGTAGTTGCCCCATGTCTACTAAACCGGGCTTTGTGCCTCCCCAGGGCCTTCACACATGCCCTGCCTCCATCAAGGCCACTCAAACAGTCCCTCAGGCACCAACTTAAATGTCGCTTCCTCAGGGTAACCTTTCACAATAACGCCAGAGTAGAGAAAAGTGTCCCCATTTATTGCCTTTTTAAAAAAAGATTTATTTATTTTTTATACAAGAACCGGGGTACAGGCCAGATGTGTGGGAGGGTGAGAGGATTCACTGGAGACAGAGCGGGGAGAAGAACATGCAGACTGACGAAGTACACTGCTGAGGGGAGCAGAGGGCCAGACAGGAGAGGTCTGCCACGCCATGTGGGAATCTCGCCGGCCAGCTGGGATCGAACCCGCACTGCAGAGGCTGCGGACAGCTTCGCAGTGTGGCGCTCAACTGCCTGCGCCACCAGGGAGGCCCCCCATTTATTGTCTTGTAGCCACCTGCAGCCTGCTGCGACTTTTCCTTCACCATACATACCCATTTATGATGAGATATTTAAATGTAGGATTATTTGATTGACAACAACTTTTCTCAACTAAACTAGATTGCACTATGACTGTTTAGGTTCACCCTTATATCCTGAGAGCCTAGGGCAATGCTTATTACATAGAACATGCTCTAGAAATATTTGTTGAATATGAATGAATGTTGTATCATCAACTATTATTTTAAAATAAAAAGGAATGGATTTAATGGAATTCCTTGAGTGCCTGTTTCAACCAGTCTCACCTAAACCTTCATACAAACAGTTAAAACACTCTTCTCAGAGAAGGAATGCACATATTCCTCTAAATCAATTTTTTTAGAGGCATGTTTTATTTGTTTGTTTGTTTGTTTTGTTTATACATGCTCTGGGTACACTCAGAAGCGCGGGAGGGTGAGAGAATTCACCAGAGCCAGAGCGGGGAGCAGAGCAGGCAGAAGGACCGAAGTACACTGCTGAAGGGAGCAGCGGGCGGCCGGAGAGGTCTGCGCGCCATGTGGGACCCTCCTCTGGTGGCCGGGGAGCAGCCGGGGATCGAACCGGCGCCGCAGAGGCCGCGGGGAGCTTCGCAACCCAGCGCTCAACCGCTGCGCCACCGGGGAGGTCCCCTACTTTCAAATTTTAATGATTTTTAATTTCTAGGCTTGGATACCCAGTTCTGTAGTCAGAAGTTCACAACTGCTGAAGGCATCACATATTTGCTAAATATTGAAACCCATGGGGTAAGCAAAATTCGATGTTAGCCTAAAGGTTTCTAACTGCAAATTCTATATTAAAAGAGTCTCTCGAGACCACTAGAAAAGCAACTACCATCCATGTATAATAATAGAAGCAACATGACCACTGCTAGTTAGGAGGGAGCAGTACAAAGTGGATAGCTCCAAATTTCAAAGTAACAGCTGTAGGTGGTTTTGTGGTTCTCAGACTGGAATATTTCAAGTGATCCATCATTGAGATCTGTCAAACCATGGCTTCCATGTATAATGATATAATGTAATCCTATCTTTGTAACCCTATTACACATACACACACACACACACACACACACACCACTTTTCTACCAAAAATAAAATCAGTGTGGTCAGTAGATAGGAGACTTAACCAAGATTTCCTTTAGATACTGAAGAAAAGGTTGCTTTTGGAGAATGGCACACATAACCCCCAAATCAATATTCAAGATATAAAGTTTACTATATAATGTTAATTATCTTCACAAGTCTCCAATTCGGATTCAATTTGAAATACATTGACCTGGGCTTCAATAAGATATAATTAGAATGTGATGAATAGAAAAGACCTATCGTGCTTATGAACAAAAGGGTTCTATGAAGTATTAAATAAATCCATAGACGCTGCATACTATTTCCCTTCCTGGAGGGTTACAATGCATATTAGAACAGTAAAGACTCTTGGAGTCCTGTAGTAAAGAAACCATCTTTTAAATTATTATTATTTTTATTAAACTTTTAAATTTTCTCACATCGTTTTTCATTGTTCATTTTTGTACAATATTTGGTTTTTCACTCAGGTGTAGTCCCCATAAATCTCCCACCACCACATCACCCATGAGCTGTCACCACAGTCCCTTGTGTTCTTCCCTCCCCTGTTTTGACTCCTCTCCCACACCCCTGCTCTATGCCTCAGATCTATAGTTTGCCAGCAAGTTTGTCTTCTTTTTCTTTGACACTTTGTTTGGAGAAACCATCGTTTTTAAACCGAACAATTTCCAACCTTTTGTGACCACAAATTCCTTTTGTTTATGGAACACCTGTTAACAGGAATAGTACACTCCAGAACCCAATTTGGCAACTGCTCTCTTAATCAATTGTACAAAGTTGTAATGTGATAACAGAACATTGGTTTGCTGTGAATATGGATAGCAATAGACAGCGTTTTGCTTGGCAACATTGATTTGTAATGGCTTCTTGAAGAATTGTAAAGGATTCTAAGGTACATAAAGTTCAGTAACAAAAAGTGATTAGTTAGTGATGACTATCAAGGATGAAACAGTGTACTGGCCGTTCTTGGCCTAGATTATTTATATGGCAACCATACATTTCATATTTTCCAGTAAGTTCTGTTTTAGAGTATTTTATTCTGTTGTCCCCATATTTACCATAACACCATGAGACCATTTGATGTTTTATTCAGAAAGTGTAGTGGCCATACATAAAAGAAAGAATATTGGTAAGTAATAATTGATCAATAGTTACCTATCATTGTCCAAAAACAAGTCACCAATTCTGGTAACACAATAACTTACCACTTGACATGTGGATAGTCTTGTGGAATAGGGCTACATTGCATGTTTCTCCATAGCCTGAAGGAAAGATCTCCGAAGATGATCCGACTATTGAAAGCATCAGCTTGAACCCAGTTTTATTAAAAACACATATTTTCAAGTTCTGTTCATCGAAAAACACTTAGAAACAATTCCAATGCCAAAGAGCACCTCTAGTGCCCAGATTGAGATTTTAAATATCTTTTCCTAAAGAAAGAAATCATGGTTTTCCAGAGAAATGGCTGATTCTAGGTTTATGATAAGAGAGTCCTGTCACACCAGAAAGCAAAGAAGCAACGGAACTGTTGTCAGAGGAGCCCAGGAAGCCAGCATGGGGTTGAACATGGACCAATTTGGTTGGAACTCCTATGGGCACCAATCAGGTTCGAGCTTGTACCAGTGCCAAAGGGGCTCCTGGTGTTCAGTTTTGAAGTCCCAAACGCAATATAGGTCAGGTTGGACATACTTGTGCAGTTTGACTGGCACCAATCAAATAGCTAGGATTTTGAACATACCAATCTGATTGGAGCTCCCATGTGTGCCAATTAACTAAAAAGGGCCAATGAGATTCAAAAGTCGGGCTCCCTGAAGGTTATATAAGTCAGGGGCTTCCCTGGTGGGGCAAGGGGTTAAGTCTCTGGACTATCAAGCTGTCGCCAGCCACTGTGGCATGAGTTCGATCCCCGCCCAGGGAGCTAACCCACATGGCACAGCAGGCCTCTCCCGTCTTGCGCACTACTCCCCTCAGCAGTGTATTTCAGTCAATCCACCTGTTCTGCTTCCCACTCTGTCTCAGGTGAATCCTTTCACCCAATTTCACCTCTGACCTACACCCCAGATCTTGTATGCATAAATAAATAAATCTTTTTAAAAAAGAGTATATAAGTCAGGCTCCAGTCAGCTTTGATGGAGGCAGACTCCTCCAGACTTTCCCCCAGGAAGATTTTCGTAGAGTTATAACACTGGTCCCTCTCCTCTGGCATTGTTCCTTCCCATACCTATCCTGTGGCCCTACCTCTGACATTGCCTGCTGAATGACACCATTGGCCCTGTGCTTGCTGTCTCTAAAAGAGCTGTTTGCTGTTGGCTTTACGTCCAGCATCTCTAAGAGATATAACACTGGTCCCTGCCTCTGACATGGCCGGCACCAATCTCTGGTTCCCTGTTGTTGCTGAGCCCTGAGTCTGAGTCAAGTCCTGCAACTGCAGTTGTAAGCGCACAGGTGAGAACCCCACTTTTGCACCATTTCACTGTGAAACAATAGGAAAAAATATATATTGGTCTTTGCCGCTGGTTCCTGGCCTAGAGCTCCTGGAACCTTTATAATTTTTCTAAGTGTTCAGAGCACTAGGATCATCCTTTGTTCTAATATCGGTTTTAGACCTTGGTTCCTGACATAGAGATGACTGGAAGTGGAATTACTAA